TGTAAAGTTCAACACAATCGCATCTCCTATACAAAATATATATATTCATAATGCTATATTATACACTAAATGATAACATCATGACAAAAGCATCTTAGAAAGTTATAAAACGTCGATGTGTGGCATCATTCACTAACACCAAACAATGTGCTATTATATGTTGTATGTCTTTGGCACTGACAATGTATTATGCACGAGAACAATATAAATGTAAAAAGATGATAAATAATAATATTAACAATTCATCGATAAAGAATGATGACATGTGAATAGAAAATTGAGCGTATTGTAAACACACAGTGCTTTTTGTAAAAGTTTTAAATACGCTACTTGCCACCTGTCGACCTCCGGCACGCCGATGTACAGTACTGTAGACCCGGACAGTTGCCTCTACTACACTGTACCGCACAGTACTTGTCAGCGTACTGGTAGACGGCTCGGTATCGAGGAGTAGCTTTACATGGCTGACTTCCGGTTACACCGGAAAACAAATGACCGAAAATGAAAGGAAAGGCGTTCTGAGGTACATAACCAGCTGGTTTATGGTTCTGTATGGATTGTCCTTGATGCTGTGCGGAGGACGGGAGTAGGAAGTGAATCCCTGAAGTTTGGGTTTGTCCCTGAGGTATGACGTTGATTGGGTGAAAGACAGACGAGAGAATCGGACCTGACGTATGAGTCGATTCTTGTGGTTTGACCTGGGCTGACTGATAGACAGACGAGTGAAGTTGTCCGGATGCCCCGACAGACCCTACACTGACAGGATTAATGTTCTGTGGTATATAGCCAGAGGACTGTGGAGTCTGTATGAATTGTCCTTGATGCTGGACAGAGGACAGAGGCTGGAAATGAATTCCTGCAGTCTGAGTTTGTCCCTGAGGTGAAATGTTGACCGGATGATTGACAGACGAGGAAATCTGTTCGGATAAATATGACGGAGCACCAACAGAACCTATACTGACGTCAGAATAGCCGTAAAACTGTTCTTGTTCTCCACATCCGATACAGCAATTTGTTCCGTCACAGCCGTACGAGTTCCCTGTAAAGAAATATCTTGCCAATGAAAATAGTATAGGATTTTTTACAGACAAACATACTTTTAGGTCTATGAAGATAAAAGATATATTTTGATATACAAATCATTTTAATATCTTTATTTCATCTTTATTCATTCACATTAATCTTAATTAACAAAACATGCACTTCTTCATGAAGAAAAACGTGCGATACATAGATACAAAAGTCTGGTCGTTAAATTGAAACAAAAACAATACTTTCGATCGAAACAAATGCCAAGTATAAGAAATATATACAATCAATTCTGATTACATTATTGGCTTACCTGCGTTGTATTTCCACTGAAGAAGACACTGAGAGCACGTGACACCGGTCGGAAGTTTGAGATGGACTGTATTAGTGGTGGGATGACCAGCCTCATACACTCGAGTACTGCCGTCTGTCTGCTGTAGGACATGCTGGTCCAGACACGCCTGGGACACACGGGTACTGGGGTTGTTGTGAGGACACAGGCGGAACTCGAAGTAACCCTTGTGTGACGCCGTTATCTGGACATTGACTGTGATTGTCTGTCCCTCGCTGTAATGGCGGACAATAGTTCCGGTGGCATACTTCCCGCCAGCCTCGTGTTCACGTCGTCCATCCCATGGATCGCCACAAACACCACATTTCCCGCCATTGATTTTCCATTGACGCTGTAAAACGAATATATCAAATATAGCATTTTCTTTTCTATTGGATTTTTTATCCTTTGGTTGTAAATTGTGTTGATGTTTTCACGCTCTTCATCTTTTCATATTATCAATTTTGTTGCATTCGTTATTTCTGGTATATGCATTAAGGAAATCGAACTGTACTTAAATGATCAACTTAAATATGAACTCACATTAAATCCTCCACAGAAGAGCTGATTGTCGTCGTAGTTTGGGGGAGAGTTGTAGCCAAACCTCCACATACTGGCCCTACCCGGGGGCTCCAGCAGTCGACCATGACCTCTGACCCCAGATATCCACACACTCAGCGTCAGGAGTATCGACAGTGTCGCCATGATGACAAAATTCATGCTTATTTGTTAATATAATATTTGTATCTGAAATATGAAATACAGGATAATTATTAGCAAAGTTCATATTGCAAAAGGTTTTATATTCAAAGAGACTGTTAAAAGTAATGTTTCTCTATTTAATATATTTAAGCATTTCTCTTCATTAACATTTACAATTATCAATAAAATGCGACGGTCATAAAGAAATATGAAATTAAAAGGCGAAAGAAGACGCATATCAGCTTGATAAGGCAATACATGTTAACATACCTTTTTCGGCAAGTAGCAGTTGATATCAAATGTCAGTTTCTAACAGAACTTCAGTGTTGCTGTCTCAGAGCTTCTTGTACTGTCGCCTTTCTGTTGAGTTTGTTGGTATACAGAGAGCCATGTGCTCCTGGTATTTATAGTAAACTATCGGAAGTGTAGTACACAAACAATTGAGGTCATTACGGTACAATGTTTGTACAGGGACGATAACATTTCTATAAGATACTGATACAGGGATATTTAGGAATGACGCCCTTGCCAGTCAATGGTGTTCGATCTAATCCACGTTAATATCGAGGTGACGTCGTACCCCCACACATGGACTTACCAATGGACTTGAGAGGAGTTAAATGACCCAAAAGATTTACTTCAAGACCGAACGTGTCAATTATTTCACTTTAGAGCAAATATACGCATGTGGGTCTTACGTCTTTTGACAATCATTATGACCTTAGTAACTGTAAGTGCGTTTTTTGTTTTTCATTATAAAACAGATACGAAATAAATAATCTTTGCGTTATTTGGAAAGTAAAGTTTTGTTCTATATTAATGCATCGTTATATATGTGTATTTCTTTCTGTATTAATTTCGCTGCAAATGAGTCATACTACTACTAAATGCAATCAATGCATTTCAACTTTCAAATAATTAGAATGTATCCTGTTGATGTAAGGTAGTATCACTATCCATTATAAATACATATTTATTCCAGGAAAAGCTTTAATAGCAACACATCAAATCCCGATTGTATAAAAATGTCTGTATCAAATATTCAAATTGGTGCCTCCTTATTCCGTATATCTGGTACAGATTAGTCATCAATCGCACACCTTCATAAACTGTAGTATTTATATAAACATTTCGACCGCACTTGCTTCTATATCAAATGTTACTTTTATACTAGTATTTGTACCCCGAGGTTTTCTAACCAACTGTTCTGTTTGTAAGCATTTGTATCCCGATGTTTTCTACCCAACTATTGTTTTTGTAAGCATTTGTACCCGATGTTTCCTACATCAAATGTTGTTTCTCCAGGGACTGTTGTAATTACATCAGTTGTATTTCTACATCAATCGTTCTTTTTATATCACTTGATGTCTCCACATCAACTATTAATTTACCCCAATTGCTTCTACATCAAAAAGTGGTTTTATAAAACATTTTCACGTTGTTTTTATTTTTTAAATCAACTATGTACTACATTTAAGCATTTTTACCCCGATGTTTTCTTACATCCATGTACTGTTGTAATTACATCGGTCGTTTTTCCACATCAGTTGCCCTTTTTATATCATCTGTTGTCTCTACATCAACTATTGTTTTTACATCACTTGTTGTTTCCACGTATTCTGTTGTGTTGATATCAATTGTTTATCAAAAGAACAAAGGACTAACGAGACTAAAGGAAGACACAACGTACCACTTAAAAAAAACACGAAACGAGTAACATAGAATGGAGTTTATGTATTACATGTGTTCCCTATCATGATGTTTATACCATACAGTTGTGTTTGTTTTCCTCCTTTGCAAAATCTTAATTCAATTTATTTATTTTACAACAATTGCGAAACAAGTTTGATCAACTCATATTAATCAATATTGTTGGCCCGGATGGTAGCGCACAGGGTTTCCTATAATGTGGGAGGAAACTAAAGTTCCTGGAAAAAAACCACGTGGTCAGACTCCTTTGCAACACCAACGTGTTACAGAATGCACGTTATTATTAATTCTGTAAATTGTATTTGGTTGCAGATTCAATTACCTTCTAGTTATAGTAAAGATTTGTCAATTTATAATTACATCAATATACGCTGTACAATTAAGTACGTGCTATCAATCAATTTGTCAGGTTAGCGTTTTAGCTGAAGAAATCTACTCAAAGATCAGAAAGCGACAGAAAGTTCACGTATCAAATATAATTTACTTTAAAAAAACCCACTTTTTTTCTAAAAATTGAAATCTAAAATTCCTAATCTAAGAACAAAACATATACCATAGAATCATGTTCTAAATCTTTAACGGAAAACGGAATTAATGTGTGAACTGTGAAGATATCAGAGTAGGAAGGTGTGTAAAAGGTTGTCTGTGTCAGTAAACATATCATATATATAGTCTATCAGAATCGACACGTGTGAGACCGCGGCTATGTAAATTCCGCGTTACAGTGATTCACAGACGTAAGTTTAAGGGATA